ATACAAGTTCTATTTAATTGCCATATATACTTTTTCTTCACTGTATTCATATTTTTTAACACAGAAAACCTAAAAAATTATGTTGATCACTATGTAACAATGTTTTAATGAGCTCACATATTTAACTCAAATATAATCTTAAATTACCACTTTCCAAAGTCTCAAGTTCAGACTTTTAATTAGCACTAGTAATAATAATCTACAAGGATGTTCTGCAACATTTTCCACTTGAGACATTAAGGAGTTTCATAATTGTTAACTATCAGAAAGCTAGAAAACAGATGACTTTAAATGGATCCTTGATATTTACCTTCCAATCATATTACATAATCACAAGGTCATTTTACTTTTTCTTGTTCCAATATGAAAAATAAATGTTATTTCTACTGAAAATTTAAAGAGAAACAAATAAATATTTCTGCAATTAAAAGCTAACTGAGAAAGCATAATCTGTTCATTATCAAATCTGCATTGGTGAAATCTGCTTTAGCAGTATACCCATTGTTTTCTTTAGTCACCGATGAGCATAAAATGATGGGAAATACAGCACTACCAATTAGAATTACAGGTTTCCAAACTAGAGTAAACATATCTTGACAACATAGTCCAATACATTTTTAATATTGTTAAACTTCCCGGCATTTAACATTGTGCACATTCCTGAGTGAAGCTGCATTGTTTCTACTCCTTGGTGTGGTATTGATGTGCTACTGATGGATATGACTAAAAATAAATGTAGCATATGTGGCAATAAATCACCTAATTACACAACTAATTAGAGCATAGTCTATGAATTTCTGAGAAGTTAAATAATCATATCCAAATAATACTTGGGATAGTTTGACTGGACGCTTAGTTGATTTACTGTGTTCTCCCAATTCGCTCTACATATTGAAATCCACCTTCCCATTCCTCTGAACAGAAATTATTTGGATAACCCACCAAAATTGTTGAGGTAGATGGATTAAAGAGGACCCCAAAAGATATATACTGTTCCTAAAGCAAAACAATGTGCTAGGCTTCAGGGCTTCTTCTTTAGTTCTGAGCTGCTGTACTGGGACACAGCACTCACACTGCTGGTTGGAGAAGTAGGTATTCTTCCTTTGTGTAAATGAAATTACAGACCCTGTAATTACAGACCCACTGCTGACAGAGATGTTCTGTTACTTGTTCAACCAAGACTAATTGGAGTTTCTTAAGAAAAGAGTATTCAATGGTATATTCTTCCTCCAGTTCCTTATCTACTTTATCCAAAATAGTCAAGACTATTTTATGTTAAATCAATAACTGAAATAGCCTCCTATAATCTTTCTAAAATTATGCTTTGCAGCAAAATAGGAAATGCTGAAAATTATCTGTGATCCTTATAATGTTTCCAAAATTTTGAGATCTTTTGAAACGTCACCATCTACAAAACACACAAGAATCTCAAAAAATGCTCATTAAAATTGTAAGCAGGCATATTTTGTTTGTCAACCAACTGATACTAACTGAAACTCAACAACCAGGCTGGAAGCATAAGCCTATCACACCAAAAAACCCCCAGAGTGTAGTATATGTAAATCCAGGAAACATCCAGCAAATCATCAGAAGTGAAAGTAGATTAAGGCAGGCTTTCATCTGTCTTCGAGTTATTGATTAGGCTACAGTTTCTTAAGAGAAGCAGTAAACACGTATTTACACATTATAATCTATTGAAGTTAATGTCATAATATATAAGCATGATGCTAAAATGTTATTTATTTAAATTATAGTTTTAACGAATCTGTATTATAACCACATGCATTAACTTCATTTTAAAGAAATTGAAACACCACGTAAGCAGAAGGCATTAGGATTACAAAACACACGTTGATACTACAAACTACACCAGAGTAATTGTTCATAATTTACTTTCTAAATACAGAAACAAAAAAGCATAAGTGCTATGTAATGTATACATATTGACAGATACACATATACTCACACATATACACTAATACACATTTAATTATGCTCCCATGGTTTGTGCCTTCACATACTGCTTATATTTTTAAATGGTAAATTCTTGCCTGTCGGAATGTTTCCTCATGCTGTTGATGGAGTGTATAACAAAAAGGGGTTTGTCTCTGACTAACTTCTGTATGCTATTGTGATACAAATGTGAAATAATGGTCCTCTCTGGGGAGTAAGGCATAAGACTCTTCTAAAATGTAATAAAATTTTATGATGTCACTCCAATTAAAAAAAAATATTTTCCTACAATGTGTGTGCCAGATTAGAGATACGTAAATTGTCCCATGGGATTAAAGTTATGCACAGGTTTTCAAAATTGGATACCAACACTTCACATATTAGCTCATCACAACTTTTGTAACAGTAATAGAGTTGAATATAGAATCAACACTATGTCCTCACTATGTTTCGATATTCTTTTACAGATGCAGTGTTGCTGCAGGATACAACACTGTCAGTATGACGAAGTATTTTAGATGAGAAAGAATTTACAACAGAATATAACCTTTGCCTCCGAAATACACAAGCATCACATGTTAAACATTCCTTTCCACTCTTTATTTTTATACCTCTTATTATTTCTTTTTGTCTTATTTTTATTATTAAAGACAAGCTAAAGACACAGTGAAGACAAAAGACATTCTTCTTATTTTTTAACTAGATTGCCTCTTAAATATTCACTACCATGACATGTTCCAGTTTGAAAATCTAAAACTGTTCTAATTGTTTCACTTCCAAGGGCATCCCCTTTCAAAAGTAGTGATTCTGTTATTTAACAGATAACACGTGTACTTGCTGTTGATGCGATGGTTTCTCCCCCCATTTCACAATTTAAAGAAATAAAGCATGAAAATTTAAAACATGTCTTTTATTTATTTATTTATTTATTTTTAATTTGTAATTTATTTAGTGGTTTATGAAGGAGATAGATTGGAGTTCAGATTTTCTACCAGAGCACTGACTACCAGTCTGTGAAGGCAAAATGGCTTGAATGGAGGAAGTTTATTTCCACCAAGCAATGGACTGGTCTGTGTTCTCTCTTGACTTAAAATACAATGTCCACAAGATTTATGAATACAGAGTGAAAACATTCCACCTTCTTGTTACAGAAAGAACTCCCATCGGAGAACAGACCCAAAGAAATCTATTCCAGGCAAAAGAGGAAGAAATGGTCAAAAGGTGAGAGAGGGGAAATGGGAAACAAGCTTTTTTGTGAGTGAGGGAAGAAATGACTGATAGCACAACACTGAAATTATCATGCATATGCTTTGCTTTGGAGTAGGTAACAGGCAAAGTGTTACCAAATTCTAAATTTAAACTCTTAGCTTGGTCTGATGGTGTCTCACATACACATGAATAAATGATCTGTGCTCCTCTCAGGTTTCTAATTCACAACCTAGTGTTTTCTAGCCGTACCATCTGCAGTAGCAATACCTCAGGTAGGAGAATTTCATATTTTGATCCAACAGAAGAGTATTACTCATCTTGAAGGATCAGCAGATTGCATATGAGCACCCAATAAAAGATGGAAAAAAAAAATAATCTATTAGCTGGCCAAAGGAATACAGTGGTCCCTGAAATGAGAGAGAAACAAGAGTGCCACTACAGTGCTTACGTTTTGATATCTCATCTGCTATGGTACCTTCTCTCCATGTATTAAAAAAATAATTTCACTAATATTTAGAATGCACACATTGGCTTTTCCAATATCTCCAGGCACGAACAGCTAAACTACGGCAGAAAAGCTAGGCTAAACCTATAATGACTTTAGGGTACTGAGCCAGTGATCAAGCTTGATATGGTTTTGAAAATTCACGCTACTGCTTGTACGCTTAGGACATCCAATGTTTTGTAGGTAGTCAGCATGTTCTATTCAGTATATGACGCAATCTGGCATATAAGCATAGCCACAGCAACAGATACGAGACACTGGGAATACTAAATCAGTCGTATATATACAAATTATATTCTAGGTGAATTTATGCTTAGATCCAAGGAAAATAGTTTTGCAAACATTTTTCCTCTTCAGAACTTACCAAGAGTTGCTTCCAACCAAATTTGAGCATGTACTCATGAATGTGAAGCAAATCTAGGTTTTCATACAGTTAGATTAACTGACCAAATTCAGTTCAGGTACACTCAGACTGACTGCACACCTGTCTCAAGTTCTAATTTTTATTCTCATACACTGAACATTAATACAGTATTATTTTTAATTTTACTTTGTAGGTTTGGGAATGAATCAGACAGCATATGACTACTTTGAAAAGATAGAAGGAGAGAAATGACAACTCTCTGAACACACTGAGTTGCAGAAGTAATCAAAACAGTGAGAAAAAAAATAAATAAATAAATGCCTCCAGAGTCGTTCAGCTTCTTAGAACAAGGGTATTTTCAGTAGAATTTGCTTTATTCTAATTATACTGAAATCAAAGAGGGTTTTAAAATTAATTTCAACAGTAAAGGAGCTACACCAGTGTTTAAATGCTTTTGGAAAGTCAGTGTTATATTTACATGCTGGAGATACTTTTCTTGTCTTCTGTCAAATAGTGGGTTTTAGGGAATATTTATGAAAGTACCTTCCTAAAACCATGTTAATGATTATCAGGAATTAATGGATAGCTTGAGAAAAGATGACAATGAGACGAAGAATTTGAAGCGGTATTTCATTTTGAAAATCTCATTTTAGTGCTTTGCATGTTATATCTTTTTGACATGTTTTTATGTCTTTATAATGATTATTTTATGATGAAAATGTAATAATTATAAATAAATTATGTACCAGTTTATTATGAGTTAATCTCTAGGAGCACCCTCACCCTCCCCAATGAATAGAAACTGGAATGTTTCACTGCTGCAACTTGAGATACTCAGGAACAGATAAGGACCTTAAACTCCTGACTTCTTCTATTTGTGCATATTGTTTTACATTTTAAGTAGTCTTGCTTAAAATACATTACAAAATATAAATGCTTATATGCATAAAGTGAAATACTTGTTCATACCTTCAAAGTAACTAGCATTTATAGGCTGTGTCTTCCTCAGTGGTTTCACATGGAGATGTTTATTTTCATTGGTTTTGAACAACGCCACTCTCACAGCTGGGTCTAGATGACAAGAACAAGTTAAAATCAAAGGTCAGACCTGGCTCATTCATTCCTTCAAGTAGTTTTTCACCTTTTAGCCACTTAATAAATGAAAATACCTTTAAAAGTAAGTTTTATATTCACAAAGGATTACACTTTCTAAAATAAAGCAACATGTGCAACTGAGAATCAGTCACTATTTCACAGGATTTTAACACTGTTGATCTTTTGGCTAGCTCATCTCCAAAATAAATTCTAAAGCATATATTTCCAGAAAATATTCTTAAAAATATGCTTTCAAACCTTGAAATTAAAGCAGAAATATTGACAGAATATATGCCAAGCACTGTTTCTAAAAGCTGTGGTTCAGAATTATTCAGCAGTATAAATCAAGTCATTTACACCTAAAAAATGTTAACAAGAGGCAGATTATTTTTTGAGGCTAAACTTGTGGATAATAAACTAACATTCTTGCATGTGCCATCCTTACTGAAATAAAAGATACTCAAAAGTCTGTAGACTCATCTATATGCTACCGTATGAATTCTTAGTTTCATAACTGTTATTTCAAAAATTCTGCAAAGAAGCAAAGATGAGCACAGAATTGTGTATAAATCTAGATAATACATATTACTAAACTGGAAAATATACAAAGTTTAATTAAAAGTTTAACTAATGTGAAACCACACAAGTCAGAAAAGGTGATTTTCATGCATTATTTCTGATGTGAAGGGAGAATTATTTGCTTGACATAGAAGAAATATAGGAGTTTAAGGGAAACAGTAGGTTAGAAAGAATGTGAAAATTTTACACACAGCACAGAATAAACCAGCCATTTTATTAAAAAAAAAAAAAAAGAAAGAAAAAAACCCAAAAGGATTTAGAATGTAGAAACAAAACCAGATACATAATGATGAGCAAAAGTATATATAGGGTTGTGAAACTATGGCACTGAGCATATTATGAGTAAAGGAAAGCTAAAGCAAAAATCAAAGAAATATGTTTCTCATGGTTAAAAGAAGAAGACAATAGCCAAATCAGACAAATACATTCTCAGGAATATCTGAGAAACAATGAGGCAGAAGTTTGTCTACAGAGGTGACTACAGAGTGTCAGAAAAGGGTAGATACTAATAAAACTAAAGAAGGAAAACAGCAACAGAACATAGCAAGAAAGTACATATGGCAAGGAAATAATCTAGATTTCCACAAAGAGTGTAACTGTAACAGAAATGAATATGTGAGACCTTGCCAGAAGAGATAGAGTAGGAAACAAGAGGAAATTGAAAAACTCAAAAAGCACTGAGGCAGAATAAATTTACATGGCTATTTATCTGACGCTTTATTTTCAGTTTTTTACAAGGCCTGGCTGGTGTTTATTGAAAAAGTTTGTAGGAGTATCTATAATACTGCAGCAAAGTAAGTAGCATTTTTGCTGTTTCCTTACCTATGGACAGAAAAGATACTAATGCCCTGTTAAGTCAATGGGCAATTTCTTACACAGTTTAACCCCAATTTACAAAATTGTTTTTTGACTAGACCTCTGTATTTGCAGTAGATGCTTCAGTTATAAACTAATTGTACATAAAGGCATACTAGGAACTCCACTTTTTCTCAGAGAATGCTCTCTTGACACAAGCAAGACAAAAGCTGAGTGAAGATCTTTAATGGGTGTGGATACTTTTAAGAGATAATGCATTGACAAAACACATCAAAACTGTTACGGTATCCTTGGTCAGCCAACACTGCAGCAGCACTTGGTTGACAGAATGTTCTTAATGGTGCTAAGCGAAGTAGCAAAGGACAAATCAGCAAACTTGACTAACGAAGGAATCATGGAAAACACAGGTGGGAATAATTTAGGCCATGCCTTCTTCCCAAGACAGAATCAGATACCTTACACTTTCCTACTTCAAATTGTCTAGTAGAACATCTCTCATCTTGTTGTATGATGATTATTACAGATTAACACAAAGGATATCAGATTTAAAGTAATTTTAAAGTCTTTTACTGTGCAATTTGTAAATCCAGTGAAACAACCCAAGAATCAAAATAAATAATTATTAGCCCCATTAGTTTTAAAGGCAGATTATAAGAATGATTCTGATAATGGGATCACTTTATTCACAAACTGGATTACCAGGTCTGTAGATATCTTCTCTTTGCACAGATGGATGAAGTAGGCCTATATTGCCATGCCTCCCAGCTCAAAAAAAAATTTGTCATAACCTAGTGTTCTTAAGGGTAGCAAATGTTTGAGGCACTAGATCACAGTAAGATTTGGGCCAAAATAATATTAAGTAGTAATACATTATATTTTAAAAGTTCTTCTTGAAATATTAAGTAATAGAAGTTATAATAAATATTTAAAGTAAGGTATGAATTATTACTGTATCTTATACAGTGGTGAAATACACAGGCATACATATACTGTACATGAACAAAAATGTTCAAATTTTTTTCTAATTGCAATTTTTCCAACATGCAGCATTCAGTGTATTAATAAGAGGACTTCTAACTTCTCTTATATACTGGTTACTACATGTACTATATAACTAGCTTTACACTAGTTACAAAGTCAGTGTTTTCCTTCAATAGAAGACCAAAAACAGTGTGAAAAAAAAAATATTAAAACTTCAACAAAGTGCAATTGAGGCTTTCCAAACTATTTTTGATTAACTTAATTTCTGAAATTACACACTTCTTTTCCTGTGTGGGTCTACTAAAATATTTCCAAAATATTTTTAAAATGTCATCTTTCCTTAATCCAGCCTTCCACCAAATTCTATGAAAACTCCAACTAGTCTGAAGTTAAACTGTACCAAGGACTTCTGGGTGAAGTTACATGAAGTTATTGGTGTACACCTAGATTTTTCAAACATTTATGTGTGGCAAGGATACCAGCAGTAAAGAAGGTCCATGGAATGGGAAGACAGGGAAATGACAGAAACTGTTCTAACAGATTTCTATCAGAAGATTTAGCTTTGAGTCTTTGCAAAATTACAGGGATTTAACACAGTGCCAGACTACTTGAATTCGTACCTACCTGGATCACCTCAAGCACTGCCTACAGCTCTTTTGTTATTAAAAATGAGTCCTTTTCTTTATCTAGTTCCAAATGTAGGCAATATCACACGGTTTATAATACTAGTGCTTTTCAGTCTAGGGAAATGAACTGCATGTATGCTTTGATGACAAGCAATCAAATGTTTTAGATTTCACACAGAGAACTGTGAAAGAGTCCAGCAGTTCAAAATCATACAAATATCTTCCTGGATTCTGGCATTCTCATTTAAATGTGGCTTACTAGACAATGATCTGCGCTGGCAGTCTAAGAACCAGGGAGGTAATTTAATGCACATTGCTTGGCTGACTCCAACTATAGAAGATAAGTTGGACAAACATAAGAAATGTTATAGAAACAATATGGAAGGAATAGTTACTGCCTGATTTGGCACAATATTTACTAAATAACTTCTTGATAATATGGAAAACTGAAAAAAATTAAATGATTGTCATTAATTTTTGTTGTACAATATCTGTAATTAGAAAAAACATAAACATATCTGTGTCAACTTTAGAGAGTTGAAAAATCAAAGTAGCACAGAGTGACAGATACGTATCTATAAGGTATTTCAATTTGTAAATCCATTTGGAAGGAAGACCATATTTTGTTCTATAACTGAACAGCAATTAGGACTTCAACTCATGCATAGCTGGATTTCCCAGATGATACTGCTACATGAAATACACAGCAACAGAAGCAGCTTTCTTTCTGCTACTAAGGAAATATAGATCAATGGTTATTGATGTAAGAGGCAACAAAGAATAATATCCCCCACATTTTTATTCTGACTGTTAATTCAACAAATCAGTGTTGTATAGTCAGATCATCTGTTATGGGGTTCTCTGGGTTTTACACGGGGGTATGTTGGATTTTGTTTGGTTTTGGGGTTTGTTTGTTTGCTTGGTTTTATATAATTAGCATTGCATTGCTCTTTTAAATTCTATAATAGAACTAAAAGTATTTGTTGACCTCTGTGAAATACCAATGACATTGTGTTCTGGATTTAGGAGTCAAAGCCCACTGCAGCTCCTTTTTTTTTTTTTTTTTTTTTTTTACCTATGTGGCAGCAAGAATTAACATTTCATGCTGTCAGTTACTGGCAAGTTTTCCTTTCGATATGGTTAAATGAGTTTTCCTTCGGATATGGTTAAATGGTTAAACAAGAAGTAGTACAGCAGTGTAGGAGAGACAAGCTGAAAGCAAGACAATGCTTCCAGCCATCTTGAAAGGACTTAACTTTCAGACGTTAATATAAGATCCACAGAATCAAGGAAATTCAAAGTTAATCAAGAAACTCTGCACTGTTGTGCCAAGATATCTTTAGGAAGTTAGGATTGTTTTGAGTCACTGTGCTTAACTTTTAATCATAGTGAGGTGCGTTAATGTCTGCCGTACTTAGATTTTGAATTAGAATTTCTATAGAATTTTCTGCAGCCATGATAAACAGGAATATTTCTGACATTATATCCATTTTACTTGACTGCAATATTTCTGGTTTCTTGCCCACACTTTCTGTATTATCTTACTGTAGAGTAAAATAGTTGAAGCAGACACAGCCTACATTTGGTATCGTTAAAATACAGGCCACAACTTTATTTAACTACATAAACAAGCATACGTAACTAGCGGATTAGGGCATAACAGCCCTTAAGGCCATTATTTGGTGGGACTGGTCTACTGCAACATAAGCATTGCCTGAATCACCCCCTATTATAAGGTTATGCTACTTTAAGCTCTTGTAATACAAACCACAGCATTCAGTGCACTTGCTAGTATTTTCCATATTTGTTTCACTACTGGGAAGGTATTTGGCCAGACATATAAGGTAAGATACTTCTCAGTTTCTTCTGCATATCTACAGTTTAACTCTGTACTTCAGCCAGTCACTTTAGGTTTTCTGTCTAGGCAATAGAGATTTGTAAGTGCTTTTACACTGAGATGCAAGTAACCTGTTTTTAATTATGATTTAGGAGGAAATTTATAGCATCTAAGGTGGCTATTTCTTTACACAAAAGTATGTACATGACTAACTCAGATGTGGGCTTCTATATTTAACCGATTGTGCTGGAAGGAAGCAAAAGTTTTAGATGGAAAATTAAAGAAGAAATTCCAACACCTGAGAATGTTAAGAATCGAAGCTATTCACGACTTTCCAACACAAGTTCCGATGAAGCAGATGTCTTGACTATATAAAAGAGCAACTGTAAAACTCTTTGAATGGAAGCTCATTTAACACTTAGAACTTGTGAATCTTGGGCCTAAGGCAAAGGAATTTGATAACATATGGGAGCAGACAGCATCCTCTGACGAGCCATTTGTTCCTACAAAAACCATCAACACCTTATCCTTACCTTCAACTAAAAAGATCAGTAGCACAGAATGATCAATAGCACATAAAAGGTGTTTGAGATGATGCTGAAATCTTAGCATGAAGGCTATCAGTATATTTGGTAATAGCTTATAATTTATTTGTATCTAGAACCTTTAGAGATGCTGTTGCTTTGCTTTTTGTCAGAGCTTAAACTGTAGTTACCACATTTATTACTACAGTTATCAGTTACTGCCGATGTGTAGTAAAGGGATATAACATGGATAATTGCTTTTTTACACCTTATAATTCACTCTTTCAGGTGGATGCTGGCTACTTAGTTTCTAGTGGGTAGCAATTCTTATTGCTAACAAAATTATTTTATTGTATACATTCATACATTTATTGCATACATTCAACTATTTTAAATCACAAAGCTAAAAATGAAACAGTTGCAATTACACTGAGTACCTGGAAATTCAAAAGAACAGAAATAATAATGACAAAACCAAATCCTATGATATTTCAAATGCAGCTTATCATAGAATTATAGAATAATTAGGGTTGTAAAGGACCTTAAAGATCATCTACTTCCAACTCCCTTGCCGTAGGCAGGGACTCCTTCAACTAGACCAAGTTGCTCAAATTTCAATCAATACAAGATATAGGAAGCTCATTTCAGAGGAGGTGAAGGTGGTAGGATGCTAATAGGTATAGAAACATTAAAAGACAATGTCGTCATCTACTTATTCAGATTAATTTCAAACTGCTTTTAAATATTAGAAGGAATAAAGTCTCTTCTAGAATTCCTTCTTCAGTAGGGTTAAACTGACAACAATGGCCTAAAACTTTGAACTCTCTCTAGTTATACTGGAATTGCTGCAAGTATTCTAGCATGAGCTGTACCACATGTAGATTCAAGAAAGACGCTGGCAGCCTAATGGATCTGGTTACAGATTCCTGATCTGGAGATGGCCAGCCTCAGGATAAGGTATAGCTAACCTAATTTAAATGCTGTAAAGTTGCTCTGTTCAACCAGACCCTCAACAAGATCCTGACTTGCTCATACCACTTCAGAGGAGGTAGTTGGCATAAAAATAATTATATACATGAAGATTCTTCCCACACGGTGAATATTAGATTAGGGTAATTCTTTAGTGCAACAACTGAGTTTTAACATAAGTTTAAGATAAACATACTTTTTTAATTGATAATGGTATACTTGGTCCACAGTGACCAAGTTGGCTTGGTAATCTTTGTACTGAAAATTGATTGAGTATGCAATATTTTCAGTTATATTTCATGGTTCTACAAATTATGCTTTCTGCATAGCTGAAGAAAAAGACCCTGATTTTAATGATTGTAAAAAAAACTCTACACAGAAAAATTATATATACAGTCTATTTTTGGCATGAGGTAAGTAAAAAAGACAAAAAGATTCTGTATGAGGTGGTGTCAAGAAGAGAAAATTTGAACCTGTACAAGAATTGTGCAAAAGTTTTGTTAATTTTTTTAAAACTGGTAATATACTTTGAGACTATTCCAAGTGATACATTAAAAAGCTCAACATCCATATACCATAACAAATAATCTGAACAAAGTGAATACAAACATACTCCAAAAGTCCAGGATAGCAAATTTGATATGCTCAATCAGACATTTATGACTGGATTAATTACCACTAACATAAACCAGAGAGCATATGGAGAAAAGACGATATAACTTAATAAGCTTTTCATTAAAATATAATGCAGAGGCCACCAAATGGAACATATGTAAAAACCTCAGCTGCACACCAGGTATTTACTACTTTTATTTTATTTTATTTTTTTTTTAGGTAACAGGGCATCATGAGAAGCCATGAAGATTTAAATATAGTCACTTTTACCTCTTACCCATTTTTTCCTTTCCATAACAATAAAGCATGGTTTGCTGATTACATGTCTCTTTCTTCCCCTTACTCTCCCCTATTTACATTTGTTAAATCTAAATAAAAGTACATTTTCCAAACACCATTTAGAGTTAGGTCTTATCGTCAACCAGGTTCTTATACATTTGAATGTTTTTCATACTAGCAGTATTTTGTTACTGTTTTTATCAACATATTCCATTAACATCTGCATTACTATATCATACTAACATGGTTCTAGAAAATGTTCATTGACACAAGAAGCATTTGAGAGGAATGAGAAGACAGTTACAGAGGAGTTGGATATACATTATATCCACAGTGAATATTTAATACAAAAAAATATTATTTAATTTCATATGTATTAAGCTATCATTTACATAAATATTTCTTGCACAGGTCAACATTTTTAACCTGCAATTCCCACAAGAGGAAAGCATAAAAAGCACAAAATGCAGAAATATAATTTTCACATCTGGAAAAAGAGATACATGAACAAACAAATAAAAAAATCTGTTTAGCACAGCTGTCAAATATTTAACTTCAAAATCCAGTGGATGTTTTTTATCACTGGAACAAATGGATTTAAACTGAGTAGTTTTTACTGAATCCACCTTTATTCAAATTAATGTTTAACGTTGTGCAAGCAAACTTTTAAAAGAGAGTAACTATTCTGAGATTTAAAGTTCAAAAAAAATACATTAATAGAACCTTTTTTTGAACTGTTACTTACCTAAATTTTTATTACTATACTTTTTAGGCTTCATTTTACGGGCCCTCTTCAGCATTAGCTGTGCAGTAGAAATATCTTTAAAACCCCTAGGGGAAGATAATAACTTACTAAGCATTTCACATGTATTATGTTACACCAGCTGCATATTATTGTATAATACACTTTCAAAAATAATACAAGTGCATATAGTACTTTTTATGCATGGTATGAAACTTTCTGAATTACACAGATAGCTGCAATATTTAACATTACATTAATGCAACTTATAAGCTGCTCTCGCACGCTTGCAAAAGTAATTACAATAATTTTTGCTTTGGTATAGAAGAGAGCTTCTTGAAAAGTGGAACTTAGAAAAGGCAAGCAACAAAGGCCAACTGTACTGTGTATATTCTTGGAAGTCACTATGTAAGCAAAATAGCTTAACATACCATTCTTCTGAAATTTTCTCTTCTTTTTGAGACATGAATGAAAATATCTTTTTTTCCTTCCAGTCAGAGAGCTGTGACATTGCTCCCTTCCCTGACCTGAAAACAAAGTAAAAGAGTGATACGGAAAGGTAGGTAAATAAGGCTCTTGGGTGACTATTTTGCAGTCTTTATTATTCTACAAGTTGTTTGTGCCTTTGAAAAGCACTTTTGGAGATTGGAAATAATACAAAAAAATCTATTTTAATACTCCCGGAAGGCTTTATCTTGGAGAGTAATAAAAGTCTGCCATCAATTTGAAATTGTTTACATTTCAATTACTTGGAGCATATTTCAGTCCTTTCTGTCCAAAAGAATGCAGCTGTGTAAGAAATCCCTTTTAATCTTTATCTAGTCTTACAAATCTCTATTTCAACATCTATGTTATGATATATGTGAAAAATATAAGTTTTATGATTTAAAGTCAAACCTAGATAAACAAAAATACATACATACATTCTTATATACTTAATTTGGATAGTCGATGAAAAACAACTGAATTTAATACATTTGATTTTAAGAAGTTAATACATTTTGGAATCATAGAATGGTTTGGGTTGAAAAGGACCTTAAGGATCACATATTCCAGCCGCCCCTGCCATGGGCAGGGACACCTTTCACTAGACCAGGTTGCTCAAACCCCCATCCAACCTGGCCTTGAACAATTCCAGGGATGGAGGAGCCACAGCTTCTTGGGCAAAACTGTTCCACTGCCTCACCACTCCCATAGTGAAGAATTTCTTCCTAATATCTAATCTAAACCTCCCCTCTTTCACTTTAGTCATTAGCCCTTGCCCTGTTACTACATGTTCATGTAAGAAGTCCCTCTGCATATTTCTAGTAGGTCCCTTCAGGTACTGGAAGGCTATTATAAGGTCTCTGTGGATCACTCTTTCCTCCAGCCTGAAGAATCCCAACTCAGCTTGTCTTCACAGGAGAGGTGCTTCAGCCTTCTGACCACTTTCGTGGCCTTCCTCTAGACCCAATTGAGTAGGTCCACATCCCTCTGTTGTTGGGGGCCTGGTCACACTCCTTTTGATGTAGCCCAGCATACAGACGGCTTTCTGGGCTGCAATCGCACATTGCCAGGTAGTGTTGATCTTCTCATCAACCAATGCACTAACTCTTTCTCCTCAGGGCTGCTCTCAATCCATTCTCCATCCAGCCTGTGTTTGCATTTGGGATTGCCCCAATTTTTTTAACTCCAGTAATATACAAACCAAATGTAGCAAAAGCATCAGAAAACAGCCTCAAGTTTTCCTCACTTTGATTGTTGTCAAATACAAATGAACTAAATATAAAGAAAAAATAAATAACTTACCTGCTATGAAAGCGACTATTTTCTGCTAAGTATGAATGTGGGCTGTTAATGCACTGCCCAACTTCTTGTGGTGACAGTGGTGAACCATTTGAATGTTCACTGGAATGTGAAGGCCTAGAATACTTCTAAGCAAGAGAAGGAGAAAAATAATTCAGTTAATGATTTCTGCAAGTTTGAGTTTAAAATGTGCAGGTAAACCTGCACCATACTTTGCAGAATCTGTTACCATAACAGAAAGGATTCTTAATAGCGATATACCCATTAGACCTTACATCTGGGGACTCATTCCCTAAATATAATGAATTATACTTTTATAGGAGTCCTTTCTTTTAATTGTAGGAAATAAAACATTAGTATTACTAAGCTTGTAACAAGAAGAGAAAGCTCTACCAAAACAAAAAGCTAAAACTTCAAAGTTTGTCAAATAACTAGCAGACATTAGTTTAATGACCTTTAGCTGTTCTGAAAACAGTCAGCTGTTGTCATATAATGCAGCTCTTAGCTTTTTTTAAAGTAGTGTGTCAACTAGCAATTTTTAATCCACTGCCAAATGTACAGATGAAGCACATCATCTTTTTTTCTGCTACTGTGAAGTGTTGAAATAGGTCCAAAATAAAGAAAAAAATAAGCAAATGAAAGAAAACCTTAAAGAAAAATTGCATCTGGAGATGAGGAGGAAGTCTGAGACTTCTAAAAGTAATTGTGTTTTCCAAGTCAATAGATTGTCATATTAATCACCCCAGAACAGCATACCCTTAAGGAATGAATAAAGACTGAAGAGTAAGAAGGTTCTGTGACATGTTACCTTTGGCCAGTGCAGCTGGTTCGAGAGCAGGAGTGCTTTTGAAGGGAAACGGGTGGAATCTAGAGTTAGCCATTCCTTCTCTAATGCAGCCTGCATGAATGAGTAAAGTTAAATAGTGCGCTGATAAAATCAGTTTAGTTTTGATAGCTTTTTCAAAGTCTCTTAAATTGTCTTACTCACTGTTCCAAGAGTTTTCAAGTCATATATCAGAACTGCCACCTGCAGAGCAATCACACTTAAACCACCTTTGGAGATCTGTACTGTACGTTTTTATTTTAAAAAAATCAGATTAATAGTATTTGTGAGCTGTGGGGTGTTTTTTTTTCAGGGGTTATTCCAATTTTTAGAGAATATGCACACTCTCCTTCTCAAATTCTTATAATTTTATCCCAATATTGTTAATAAACCCAAGTTATTCAAAAAGACTGCCATACAAGGGCTGAATAAGTACAGACCTAAGGTATTTAAAGGTCTAAAGAACATGAACAGCTTTGCTCATTTTTGACTAGTATTTTATATCCAGATGTAGGCGCCTGATCCTGTCAAACTTGTTTTTTAGTTGAATCAGTGAACAGTTTTCATTGAAACCTGGTGTTTAAAAAGGTGAATGCTACATGTACTTATTCCTTCAATTAATCAATTTTATTTTCGATGTTATGGAATAATTCGTGAACTAAAATAATAGCTTGGAATGAAGAAGGGTGAGAAGATTAGGTGCTAACTTGTGTCTCTAGCACTTCAAGGCAGAATTCAGTTTTCTTTCATAAAAGAAAAATTTAGATTTTTCAAACTCAACCTGCATATGACTTATTTTTCTTGTAAGTCCTTGAGGGTTTTTTTACCATCTGTTCTTTCACTGTATTCTGATAAGTGAAAGAAATAAATTACTCCTACACAGTAAGTAAATACTGCTGAAGAATTTGGCTTCACTTACACAGGGCTCAGTCATTCAGTCTATTCTTACTTCAGCAGCAAAGAGCCTGGGGTTCATTCTTTTGAAAATGTCTGATTTATAAAACTGGACTGTGTTTCTCCCATTCATAGAGTATTCCAGATTGCATGATTTCTGACCCTGTGAAATTATCTTAACTTCAGATACCTTACTGCTTAGTTTGTGTAAACAGCACTTTGCATAGCCTTAGATTGGTGAAGAAAAAGGCTTTCCAAACCCTTTGAAATTCTGAGAGACAAAAGGATCATATTCCAGCTATTTGAAAAGGTTACTTCAGGTAGTGGTCACATAATTCAGTAACTCTAAGACCACTCTCTCTTATTATAAGGTAATAGTTAACCAGTATTATTCTTCACCTTCCATTCAGATCTAACTGTTCAAAATAAATTTTCAATAAAAGTTGACTTTATTTTCAAATCTTAAAAGGGATTTCTTCTTATATCTTTGTTTCCTTGTTTCTGAGCTCCCTATTTTTTGATTACAGTATGTTTTGGTTTTCATTCTTTCATATAATAAAACTGGATAAACTCTATGCTCTCATGATTAACAGATAATGTCCCTTTATGACTCTTCCCCTTCCTAACATTTCAATTAATGATAAACATATAACATTACCCTTTTTACCACACCTCTTCTCTCAGGTGGTTGTATATTTTAAGAAATGTATGTAAATAAACTGTAGAGGCATGCAACAAATACAGTGTATCACATTCTTTAACTGGTACATTTACCTGCAACCTACTAACCCATATCTTCTCAGTGATTAGTCTTATGCCAATAAGGACAACAGAGTGGTTGATTCAAACAATTTTCATTAAGAAAAAAAAAAAAAAAAGGGTCATAGTTAAAATCTATTCCAGAAGCAGACTGTAGTAAATCAAAACATAAGGTGATCATTTAAAGATGTGAAACTGGTACAATTCAGACACAGAAGACTGATATGTTTGTATCTCAAGAGAGACAAATTTATATATTCAAGTCTTGTAATTGCCTGGGGTCTGTGGGCAGAATGGTCAAAAGGCAAAATGAGTAACTAGGAGAAAAAGGAGAAAATCTGACCAAAGACTGTCAGTGAAATCAGATATTAGTTCTCCTTGTCCTCCTTGAATTTATTCTTCAAATGCACTGCACAAATAATATTTCTGGCTTTTCAGATGAGAGTTTTTCACTAATATTCTAAGTGTGGCTTTGCAACCCAGTCACAGGTCAACTTAGTTTTTCGCAAAAGCTGTGTCTTCAACTTTGCTGGTATATAAAGGTTTATGAAAGTGGCAAATTTCTGAAGTATTTTTTTCCTCCTTTATTTGCAAGAGAATCAATACAGCTGGGAGAGCGCTAGATTTCCACTTCTTGTACAATTTAAATGTCAAATAATCTAATTGTTTTTTTTTGTGTACAATGACGTGTCTGTTAATCACCTGGCTACTTAGATGTCTTATATAAGGAGTGAATGTGATCCAGGTTCTAATGTCAAATTTTAGGTACAGCCTGCATCCTAGCTATTTGAATTTCTACCACTCTGATGAAATTGTTTGTGATAGAAATCAACAAAATCATGAAACATGAAAACTATCACCCCAAAATTGTAGTCAATTTTTTGGTACAAAAATAACTTAAGCAGCAAAAATCACTGACTGAATCCTTCTGCTTTATAGTTGTACCATGACCCAATTAAACTTCTTTGCTCTTAATCTTTAGGTTGAAACTATTCTCACAAGTATTTTCTTACCCCAGTGTTCACCATTTATTAATTTAATATTCTTCACAGTGTTTCTTTCATAGCATGTAAAATGTCTATCAGTATTCTAAATCTTGAAAATAAATTTCAGTGAAAATCTAAAATTACTTTTCAAAGGTATAAATATGCAAGACAAGAGATAACTGATTTATCATTAAGCACGTTTCACGCTCCTATGAATGTGTAGCATATTATAAAAATATATAACATTGACATTTGCTTTGGCCAATAAAAAAAAAAAAACCAGAATTGATTTTCAAATATATGCTCTTCCACTATGTTTATCCGTACAGATTTTGACAGTGCTAAGTTCAAGAAACTTTTGTCCATATTTTTCCCATAAATACAGTCCTAAATTAAAACTAATGAAAAGTTTATGACAGAATTACCAATACTTAAGGCTAAAAACTACATCCATTTCTACTGATATTGTCCATGGAAAAAAAACGCCAAACAACAACAAACCAACAATCTGAGATGAATTACAAAGCAAATAAAATTATAGTACTTGATTATATGGTCTACATGAACCATTACAGGCATACATTTGTTTCTAAAGCCAAATTAAGGAACCAATTTCTTAAATATTGAGGTATATTTGTAGTTTTACACATACGTGTAAATCGCATACAGTTGACTTAAAACATATTACTTCACCTGAAGATCTCTCAAACTTTTGTATCCTCCATACTTTGTTTAAAGTGTTTGCTTCAAATCAAAGACTGTATTCATTACTTTTTAAAAGTTGCAACTTTTACAGGTACACAAAACATACATAGACCTTTATAAATGTTTGTTAAAACTTCACAGAAATAAATTCACTCTAATTTATGATTTGAAACACATTTTTAATACTTGGCAAATTATTTGAAGGTTTCTTGAACTTTCTTTTTCTTTTTCTTTTTTTTTGCCAGACTTTGTGTTCATTTTGATTTAGCTCCTGCTCAAGATAAAACTCTTCCAAGACTAAAAAGAATACAGACCCCCAAATTCATTATTAAATATAATGCAATTATCCCCAATATCATCAATTTCATAGATGGACCACTCAGTGGATGAAGAACTGGCTGAATGGCCTCGCGTAGAGTTGTGGTCAATGGCTCAATGTCTGGCTGGAGACCAGTAACGAGTGGTGTCCCTCAGGGATCGGTGTTAGGACCAGTCTTGTTCAACATCTTTGTCGGTGACATGGACAGTGGGATTGAGTGCACCCTCAGCAAGTTTGCCAATGACACCAAGCTGTGTGGTTCAGTTGATATGCTGAAGGGAAGGAATGCCATCCAGAGGGATCTTGACACGCTTATGAGGTGGGCTGATGCCAATCTCATGAAGTTTAACCATGCCAAGTGCAAGGTCCTACACCTGGGTTGGTGCAATCCCAGGCACAGCTACAGGCTCAGCAGAGAAGAGATTCAGAGCAGTCCCACATAGAAAGACTCAGGGTTGTTGGTCGATGAGAAAATGAACATGAGCCAGCAGTGTGCGCTCACAGCCCAGAAAGCCGACCGTATCCTGGGCTGCATCCAAAGGAGTGTGACCAGCTGGTCAAAGGAGGTGATCTTGCCCCTCTACTCTGCTCTTGTGAAACCTCACTTGGAGTATTATGTGCAGTTCTGGGGTCCTCAACATAAAAAGGACATGGAACTATTGGAACAAGTCCAGAGGAGGGCATGAGGATGATCAGGGGAGTGGAGCACCTCCCATATGAAGGTAGGCTGAGAAAGTTGGGGCTGTTCAGCCTGGAGAAGAGAAGGCTGTGGGGAGACCTCATAGCAGCCTTCCAGTATCTGAAGGGGGCCTACAAGGATGCTAGGGAGGGACTCTTCACTAGGGACTGCAGTGATAGGACAAGGGGTAATGTGTTAAAACTTAAACAGGGTAAGTTCAGATTGTATATAAGGAAGAAGATCTTTACTGTAAGGGTGGTGAGGCACTGGAAGGGGTTGCCCAAGAAAGCTGTGAATGTTCCATCCCTGGCAGTGTTCAAGGCCAGGCTGGACAGAGCTTTGGGTGGCATGGTTTAGTGTGAGGTGTCCCTGCCCATGGCAGGGGGTTGGAAGTAGATAATCTTAAGGTCCTTTCCAACCCTAACTATTCTATGATTCTATGATTCATGACTGCTCCTGAACACTGCAATAGAGTAGAAGGAATGGGAGGGGGGAAGAAAGGGTATTTTATAAAAAAAGAAAAAAAAAGCGCCACATTGCAATTTCACAAAAATTGCGTGTGGAACTCTATTCTTAAAAAAAAATAATTCACCCTTCAGTTCACCTGCCTAGTTTTGTCTAACCTGTTTCTCTGAACTTCTCCCCTCAGTGAGGCAGGCCATTAGTGTCATTTTCAGTTAGAAAGGCCCTTTTTCCACCAGGTTTTACAGAGTACTTTGCCCAGAAAAGTGGT